ATAACTAGCTATTTGGTGAGGGTGAAATGGCGAGGCATCCAACACTCACCCTCTTCTAATGAGCAATCTGGAGGTGGTCTTTAACCCCCCCCCCTCCCTCCCCCTCCCCACTCCTCCCCTCCCCACTCCTCCCTCTTCTCTCCCCTTCTCTCCCCCCTCTTCTCTCCCCCTTCTCTCCCCCTTCTCTTCTTTCTCCCGTCTGCTTTCTCCTTTCTCCCCTCTTCCCTCTCCTATCTTCTTCGACCCCCCCCCCCCCCCCCCGCCACCAAAACTTCGCAAGATTTTCGCTACTTTGCGAATGCGCTGCCCGATTTTCGCGTCTCCTGGTTTCATTATTATTATTATTATTATTGTTTTTCTCTCTTCAACTTTCTTTCTCTCTGCTCCATGCCCTCCGTCCTCTCCCCTACCTTCCCTATTCCCCTTCTTTCCGTCTCTCCCTTTCTCTCTATTTCTCCTTCCCTTTTCTCTTACTCTTGCTCAGCCACTACCCCCTTCCCCCCCCACCCTTCCCCACCCCTCCTCCCCTAAGGGCTTGCAATATTGAGTCATGCAACGGGCCAGCAGGCTTCCCCCTCCATCCTCCCCTTGTCCATTTCCCCTTTTGTATTACCTCCCCGCTGGCGTCCTCTCCCCTTATTTATTGCTGTTTATTTACCCCCATCCCTGTCTCCCCTCTCTCTACGCTCCCCTCCCGCCCTATCTCTCTCTTCTTAGCCTTTTACCCACCCTTTCCCCTTCCCCTTTCCCCTCTCCTTCCTCCTCCTTCCTCCTCCTCCTCCTTCCTCCTCCTCCTTCCTCCTACTCCTCCTCCTCCTTCTCCTCCTCCTTCCTCCTCCTCCTCCTTCCTCCTCCTTCCTCCTCCTCCTCCTCCTCCTCCTCCTCCTCCTCCTCCTTCCTCCTTCTCCTCCTCCTTCCTCCTCCTCCTCCTTCCTCCTCCTTCCTCCTCCTCCTCCTTCCTCCTCCTTCCTCCTCCTTCCTCCTCCTCCTCCTCCTCCTCCCCACTTCCCCTCTTCTCTTTAAAGCCGCTCACCCATTCTGTCGGTTTTATCATGGGTGTGTGAGGGGGGGAGGGGGTGGGTAGAGGTTAGGGAGTGTTGCTGGGTTTCTTGTTTTCTCTTTTGTTTCCTGTTTTGTTCTTTTTTTATATCTAGTGACATTCTCTCTTTCTTTATCTCTCTCCCTCCCTCCCTTCCTCCCTCTGGGCTCTCCCTCCCCTCTCTCACCTTTCTTCTCTCCGCCCCCCCCCTCTTCCCCTCTTCTCCTCTTCCCTTCATCTTCACCTCCCTCTCTCTGCACTTCTCTCTCTCTCCCTCCCTCTCTCCCTCCCTCCCTCCCTCCCTCCCTCCCTCCCTCCCTCCCTCCCTCTCTCATTCTGTTCTTTTTAATTTTCCTTTCTTCTTTTCTTCTACTTTTCTGTATCTTTTCTTTTTGTTTGTTTTCCCCCTCCCCCTTCTCCCCCCCTCCCCCCTCCCCCCGTCCTTGAATGGGGGAGAGGAGGGGGGGGGAGTTGTTCTGGAGGCGGAGAGCTCGGGGGAGATACATCACGTTTACTATTTCTCTCTGACCCTTTCTTTCATTTTGTAAAGCTGATTAGAGTGTTTTTTTTGTTTTTGTTTTTGTCTTTTGTTTTTTTGTAATTTTGGGTTAATTTTAGAATTGGGTTATTTTGGTCTGTTTGTTTGTTTTCGTTGTTTGTTTTTTCGTTCTCTCCTTTTTTTTTCTTTTTTTTGTCGTTTGTGAAGTGGGTTTGTGGTCTCCTTGCGGTCTCTCCCTGCGATGTGTTTTATTTTATTATTTCTTTTTAAAGGGTAGGGGGGGTGGGGGATAGGAGAGGACACCTTCGTCTTGATTTCTCCGTGTTGTTATCGAGGCGTGTGTGTGTGCGTGTGTGTGTGTGTGTATGTGTATGTGTATGTGTATGTGTTGTGTGTGTGTGTGTGTGTGTGTGTGTGTGTGTGTGTGTGTGTGTGTGTGTGTGTGTGTGTGTGTATTGTATTTGTAAATGTATATATCCATAATATACATAGTATATATGCGTCTAGCCAACTGTGGAAAAAAAGAGAAAGTGAAGGAAGGAGAAAGAAAGGGAAGAAGAAAAATAAGGAGAAGGAAGGATAACCGAGAGGAGATCTAAAGGATAGGACGGGAGAGGGGGAGGGAGGGAGGGAGGGGGGGGGGGGGCGTGCACGGCGTGACACGGCTCGTAGATTAATTCCCCATAGAATGGCGTAACGCGATAGTGCCAGAGAACGAGAGCGAGGCGAGGCATCAAAACGAGGATTGTAACTCATGCCTTGACTCATGCCAGCCATTCCTCGGGGCGCCTGGCAGTGACCCGCTCCATCTCCACCTCCTCCTCCTCCTCCTCATTCCTTCACCTCCACCTCCTCCTCCTCCTCCTCCTCCTCACCTCCTCCTCCTCCTCCTCCTCCTCCTCCTCCACCTCCTCCTCCCTCCTCCTCCTCCTCAATCCTTCACCTCCACCTCCTCCTCCTCCTCCACCTCCTCCTCCTCCTCCTCCAACTCCTCCTCCACCTCCCCCTCCACCACCACCACCTCCACCTCCACCTCCCCCTCCACCACCACCACCACCACCTCCACCTCCCCCTCCACCTCCCTTATTCCCCCCTCCACCTTGTATGCTTTACAGTGACCACCACTAAAATAATGACACAAATACCACTGAACGCGCTGAGCGACAAGGAAGGAAGAGAGGAAGAGGAAGTTGTGTTGGGGAAGTGTCATTTTTTTTGGTTAGGGGGGGTGGGGTGGGGGTAGGGGGCTCTGACAGGCTCGGTGGGGGGGGGACTTTAGGCTTGAAAAGTGATCCCTCTGCCCGAGAAGGAGCTGGGACCGAGCTCGTCGTCTTCTTCTTCTTTTTCTTCTTCTAGATCGTTTTCTTTGAGAGAGAGAGAGAGAGAGAGAGAGGAGAGGGAGGTTATCGGTTTTCACATATTTCCTTTTTTCTCTCTTTTTTTTTTCGTTTGGTTCCTTCATATCCGCATTCCAATTTCATTTCTCCATTTCTACACGATTTTCGCTCCTCCTGGGTGTCCACCCATTTTTTCCTCCCTCCCCCCCTCTCCCCTCTCCCCCCTCTCCTTCCCTTCCCTTTCCTCCTGAACCTACTTGGGTTTTCCTCTGCGGTTTCCTTTCAGCAGCCTTTCTTCTCGCTTTCCCTCCGTCCCCTCCCTCCTCCCTCCCCATCCCTCCTCCCGTCTTCCTCCCCATCCCTCCCCCCCTCCCTCCTCCCGTCTTCCTCCCTCCCCTCCCTCCTCCCGTCTTCCTCCCTCCCCTCCCTCCTCCCGTCTTCCTCCCTCCCCTCCCTCCTCCCGTCTTCCTCCCTCCCCTCCCCCCCCCCTCCCGTCTTCCTCCCTCCCCTCCCTCCCCCTCCCTCCTCCCTCCCTCTCCCTCCATCCCCGTCCCTTCTCCTCCCCCCTCCCTCTCCTCCCCCCTCCCCCCCCGTCGCGCGTGTTCCCTGTCCCTCCCCCTCGTCTTCCTGTACATTGTTCCTCGGCGTCTTCGGCCATTCAGGACTCGAGGCCAGGAATCCTCCGGCGGCGGCCCTCGTGTTTATGTCCTCGTGTTGCTCCTGTGTCTGCTTTCTTCTGTCTGTCCCTTCTCTTTTCTTCTCTTCTCTTCTCTTTTCCCGTCCCTCCTCACTCTCTTTCTCTCTCTCTCTCTCTTTTTTTTCTCCTTCCCGTTTCCGATGCCCGGTTTCTTCATCTGCCTCCCCTCCGTCTTTCTCCCTCGATCTTTTCCTTCTTCGTCTTCGTCTTCGTCTTCTCTGGATGTCTACTTATACCTAAACGTTTATGAATATCGCGCCTCGAAGGTGTTCTTAAAGCCTCCCAACCTCCACCCCTACCCCCCCCCATCCCACCCACCACCACCTACCACCACCTCACCCCCCCCCGCCCCATCCCGACCCATCTTCCCCCCCCCCCCTCTTATTTCTGCCGGCGTGTTCAATCGAGTGACTCCCGCAACGGCGTCAAGGACTGCATCAGGTGACAGGAGTCCGCACTCGCTCCGGATGCCGCACCTGACGCCTCCGCTTGCGTCACTGGCACCACGCGGAATATTCCTGAAGAAGAAGGGGGGGGAGGGGAGGGGGTGCTATAAGGAGGCGCTGCAGTGGCCTTAGCTGGGCACCGAGTGTAGGACTAGGGGGGGGGGGGCTCCGAGACTAATACTAGAGGCGGCGACGGAGAGGAAGAAAAAGGAGGAGGAAAAAAGAAGGAGGAAGAAGAAGAAGAAAAGGAAGAAGAAGAAGAAGAAAAGGAAGAAGAAGAAGAAAAAGAAGAAGAAGAAGAAGAAGAAGAAAAAAGAAGAAACAAAAACAGAAACACAGGGAGCGAGAGGAGGAGGAGGAGGCAGAGGCGGCGCGAGTTCCCTAGGTCTCGCTTGTGTTTACAGAGGGAGATCCCTTAATCCTTATGAGTGGTGGAGGCTGCGAGCTGAAGGCCCAGTTGAGGCTCGGGTGCCTTTGCGCTCGCTCGCTCTGTCTCCTCCCTCTTCTGTTTCTCTCGATCGTTCTCTATTTATGTATTCATATCTCTCACTCTCTCTGTCTATCTGTTTAACTGTCTGTCTGTATCTCTCCCTCTCCCTCTCCTGTCTGTTTGTATATTTCTCTTTCGATTTTTCTTGCTCCCTCGATCCCTACTATCCCCCCTCTCTCCCTCCCCTCTCCCTTCCTTTCCCTTCCTCTCTTCCTCTTCATCTCCCTCTGCCCTTCTTTCTCTTTTTTCACCATTTTTCTCTTTGATTTTTTTTCTCGCCAGCTGATCTCTTTACCTGTTTATGTTCTCGCCATCCTATTTTCCTCCCCACTTTCCTACCGAACGTGGATTTGTATTTTCTGTTGCATTTGCTTCTGCTACTCGCCTCCCAGGTGTACCAGCTATTCGTAAATCTCGTGTGTGTGTGTGTGTGTGTGTGTGTGTGTGTGTGTGTGTGTGTGTGTGTGTGTGTGTGTGTGTGTTCATGTGTTCATGTGTTCATGTGTTCGTGTTTTCAGATATGTTTCTCTCCCTGTTACATTGTATAGTTTTTCACATTCCCCACATGTGTTATGGCCCTTGTGGCATTAATCTGAGTGCAAAGCCTTTCCCTAACGAGCGTTTCTCCCATTGCAGACGAAGAAGCACAACCCGAACCACGTGAAGCGGCCGATGAACGCCTTCATGGTGTGGTCACAGATGGAGCGACGCGAGATCGTCAAGTTCGCGCCGGACATGCACAACGCCGAGATCTCCAAGCAGCTGGGGAAGCGGTGGAAGAATCTGACGGAGGACCAGCGGCAGCCGTATATCCAGGAGGCGGAGCGGCTGCGGCAGCTGCACATGCAGGAGTACCCCGACTATAAATACCGGCCTCGCAAGAAGACAAAGTCCGGCAGCAGCGCCAAGTCGGTGGAGAAGGGGCGGGTCACCAAAGCCAAGGACAAGACGAGCAGCGCCGGCAGCACCGCCCTGAAGGCCGTCAAGCTGACCGCCGACCCGTCGCGGGCGCAGTTCACCACCGGCATCTCCGCCATCAACCACAACAAGCTCAAGCTCAAGCTCAAAATCGATAAGAAGTTCAAGGACTCGATCCGCAACACCATGTACGTGCCCATCTCGCAGTGCACGTCGCCGGCGGAGGTGCCCGCCACGCCCCACGAGATGCCCGCCTCGCCCGAGAGCGCCTCCCTGTACGACAGCCACGTGAGCACCACCTCGTCCAGCAGGAGCAGCAGCCGCGCCGCGTCCACCAGCCCCTCGCCGGGCAAGGAGCCCTTCCTCTACGGCCTCTACACCATCGAGAGCGCGCCGGGGCTCACCTCGCTGCGGCCCGAGTCGCTCGTGTCGTCCACCACCGTCACCTCGGCCGACGACGACGACGACGACGATGACGACGACCACGACCACGACGACAAGGACGACGACGTGGACACCAAGGAGGACGTGCTGCTGTACAGCCGGAAGCGCCACACGGTCCGCGACGAGGTGTTCGCCCCGCGCCCCTTCCTGCCCAGCTCCCTGTCGGCGTCCCGCGCCGCCGACCCTCCGCCCATCAAGATGGAGCCCCTGGACATCAAGCAGGAGCCGCCCTCGGAGTCCACCCTGGCCGACCTGGACTCCCTCACCGACCTGCTGCAGATGCCGACGGACTTCAAGGTCGAGGTGGACGAGATCAACTCGGACCTTGACTTCGACGCCGTGTCCACGTCCTCGGGCTCCCACTTCGAGTTCTCGGACGTGTCGGACATGCTGAGCGACATCGGCGTCAGCAACGACTGCTGGGCCGACATCGGCATCATCAACTGCTGAGCTCGCACGGCGCCCGGCAGCAGGAGACCCTGTTGCCCGCTGAGTTGAGTTTGTTTGATATTGCAAGGAGCCAGCGGGCGTGGCCAGCGGCCGACGCCTGCGGGCGACCAGTGACGCCGGGCTCCAGAGGCGGTGATGATCTCCTTGGTGTTTGCGAGTGCAAGAGTCAACCTTTATATACTTGGACGTTGGCGGCGACTGTGGAGTTGAGTGAAGCAACATGTGTGCTAGAGTAGTGATGTGACTCACATTTCACTGTGTGATTCTTTATGTTATACATAAGTTACTACTCATAGGAATCATGATATATAAGATGATTGACTTCTTTTTTTCAATGTATTCAATTTTTAGTCATGTAAACCTATATAAAATGCCACAATAGTGTTGCAAGTGCCAGTTCTGCAGGTGTGATAAGCAGGTGTACAATGAAGACAAGACTTTGCGTTCTTCACCTGTACAACACCCGTCATAGGACATAATGTTAAGTGCATTTCCTTTTTATGAGCTGATCTGTTATGTTGTCATTTCATCGCCATAGTGACTACATAAATCACTTCATTTCATCATTTTATACCATAGCAGTTGAAGCATTTTTCTAAAGCCAAACCCCTTGGACTCCATGTCAACTGCCCATAAACAAAAACCAATGCAAAACAAACTTGTAGTAATCATGGTACCTATGCCATTGACATCACTTGAATCGACCTTTACAGAATATTGCCACATCCGGGATTCATTATTCAGTCAGGGCGGAGAAGTGAAAAACAAAAGAAAAAGAAAACGAGACAGGTAACTCAACTAGAAGAAATAACGAGAAAATCAGGTGATGGCACCCTCAGGGCGATCCTGGGTGAGATCTCATCCTCACTATAAAGATCAAGTGATGGCAGTGGCATCCCCGACCATCAGTACTTTGGAATCTGTGGCATCGCTTGGGGGTTGAGTCCCAAGAATAAAAAAAAAACGCAACAAGGGAGAAGCCACTGAGGGCCGAAGCTTAATGTCCCAGTGCGGGTGATGACTTCGCTGAGGAAGGCAAGACGAGGCCGAGTCTCAAGCTTCGTTCTCTTGTCAGTGAGCGGAGTAATTTTACCTCTGAAGAATTAGGTCCATATACCCCCACCCCCATTGCCCCCAACCCCTTATCTCTAGTCTGTATGTTCAGGTTATTCCAAAAAAAGAAAAGAATAAAAAAACGTATGTTAATTGATCAACAACGTTTTCCACAACGCATCGTAATGGGCATTTAGTCTTTAAAAAACGTTTCTACACGATTCATGCAGTACACAACTGAAGGGCCTGGGCAAAAAAGGAGCTGTTGTCTACATTAGAGTGCAAGTCCAAACTTTTTTTTTTCAAATCTCTTTTAGAAGTGACTCAATTCACTCTTGTTGATATTTCTCCCGCTTTTCCTGTTGGTATTTCTGCGACAGAGTTGGCTTGTTGAAAGCATCACACCCACCTCCCCGGCCGAGCCTCCAGCTCACCAAGTCTCAGCCAGTTACTCTGAGGATCTGTCTTGCGCACAACGGAAAAGATGTATTATTTTTGTGACGGGGCTCTGCGCAGCACTGTCATCGTCCCAGCGCCCTCCAAAACAGGTTCCACCCACTAAACCACCCGGTTTTTCATATATAAATGATATATATGAATATATATAGTAATCGACTTTTTGTACTAGTATTAATGCAACGATGCGAGCCCGGGGGCGCGAGGTGCGAAGCTGGGCGCCGCGGCGGGGCCGTCTCCATGCGGCGGCGTGGGGCGAGGCCGCAGGGACGCGCCTCGCCAAGCGCCGCGCATGGACGTGGTCGTAGAGTCACAGGAGGCCGGCTTCGCGTACCGAATGCCTCGAGGTTTGTATCACCATAGACTGCCGATCGTCGGATACACACATACATTACACATATACCCTCTGTCTTTCCTAAGTAAGTAAATGAAAAATCTGCAGGTACGGCGCATTACCATTACGGTGTGAGAGAATTTAGCGCTTCCGACGTCGCCAGCAGCTTCTGACGGTGCACTTTCGCAGTGTTGTCATTTAGGAAAGCGCACCGCGCCGAAGGGCCTCCAGATGGACGGACAGATAATTCCTCTCACACGTTCTCCTTTTTTTTAGTAACTGCATTATCTCATGTCTCGTAATATAGTGTCATCGGCTAAGACTGTGAACCCCGTCGTTCTCATGATCGGAAAGTGATTCGAAGGCGGTTTCATTAAAACAAGGAAACGAGATTAAAGGAAGCCGCCAAGTGGTTTCCAATGCTCGCCAGAACCCCTTGAGAACTGCTCTTCACTCGTGAGAAACGGCCGTCACAGTGTTGGATCCTGTCAATAACAGCCATTCATGTGCTTTTGTAACATTTTTATTTCTCTCTGTAACCAACTCAGTGCTATAGGGTAACTCTTACAGAATAACATTAAGGGTAAACAACAATGAGGCTCTTGACAGATCTGGTGATAGCTTTCTCATAATCCAAATGTAATACTATTTGTATTGCTTGCCTCCCCCCTCCTGTTGTTCCTTGTAAACTGATTGTTCATAATTGTGTTTTTGTAACGTCCTAACTGGTGTTTTGATTTGATGGCTGTAAGTTTAAAAAGTTTGTCCTACGGGAATGTTGTGGGTGGTCTCTCTTTATATATACTGGACACTGATTAGGGGAAACATCGGGGTGTATGCAAGGTTCTCTCCGGAAACCCATTATTGTTGAATATTTTGTACCACAAGGAAGGAGTCCACTTTGCATACACTTTCCTCGAGAGTTCTCCCCCGCCCCTCCCCCCCTCATCATCACCTTTTTGTACACCCGGGGGAGGTTTGTAGACGCTACTTGGAGACGCCATTGGTCGAGTGGGACAAGAGGTCGTCCCTAGCGCCCTCTTGCATTTCTAGGTAGCGTTATCCGAATGTAAGAAGAAAGAAAGAAAAAAAAAACTTTCAAAAACCGTTCCATGGTTCCAGAGGCCTCAGAAGAACTCGAGACCCTCTTGAATGGTGAGTTAGAGCAATAAGGTGAATTTTTTGTAGGTGTTTTATAATGTACTCCGTCGTTATTTGTCATGTTTGATGAACTATCTACTCGAAGCAAGTTTAGAAGGAAGGAGAGTGCCGGCAACAGCTAAACCGTAATCCAGTGCACGGCCTCTTTGTCACAGCTGTCTTATGGGTACTTGAGACTTCCCTCGCGTATACTGTGTGTAGTCCGAGGTTGCATGAGCCTCCCTCTCTTAGTTGCAGGCGTACGGAGGTTATTATGTGTATTCCTGGTCAGTTGGAAGGGTGAGAGATTTGTACATCATTTAGATATAAGAGAATGAGAGAGAAAAGAACAGATGCAGAAAGTTGGATTTCGTCTTCGTTTAGCTGTTAAAGGATAATATTAAAATCACCAGCTACAACTTCAGTGTCACCACAGAAAGTAGATAGTAGCCGTTAATGACTATTTTTTAATCTGTTTCTGAGAACCCTCTTAGTGTTTCTAGAACCCTCTAGTTGTTTGGAATCTTCATCATCAGTTCGACAGCAGCGGCCACGCTCTCTGCTGTTAAAGAAATAACACTTTCATCATAGATTTCTAGAAAACTGTATTTATAGAAACAAAAAAAAACTACTAGAAACATTATCGTAATCTTCTTCTGTTCTTCTTTTGGACTACTTACTGTGCAAAAGAACAAGAAAACTAGCAGTAAAAGAACCTTCTAGCAAACTTAGCCGGCATCGTCGCCCGCGTCTTCCTGAGAGAGTACAATATCGCCTCCTTCATGCCAGGTCGTGGATCACAGGATGGGAGTTCCTTTTACGCGTCGCCGCTGCCGCCGCCGCCGCCACCTCAGGATCTTCTTGCTCTTAGTCTTGCCAAACCTCCTGCCCCCCCCCCCCTTTCCCCCTCCTCATCTCTCCCTCCCACCTACCCCCCCTTTCCACACTTCGCTTCCCCCTGGCTCCTCGTGGCTCGGCAGGAGTGCCACGGGATTCGCTCTCTGCTGTGACTCGCCCCTCCGTTCGGATCAGTTTCAGTTTCCCCTTTTTTGCGTGGGGGGGGGGGGGAGAGAGGGAGGTATTGATGATTCAGTTTGTTATTCAATAGTCACGGTTACGACTTCTTTTGAATGCTTACTACGACTGCCGTAACTACTACTACTACTACTACTACTAAAACTACTACTGCCATTGTCGGTTTATAATCCTTCCCCCCGAATCGTTTCCAGTAGTATTACCGTATGAATTATCCACCTCTCGTTCCAGTCCTTCCGAAAGCCGTTTTCCGGTCACGGCGACTCGAACCCGGTGTCTGCGATCTAGTCGTGCAAAGGAAATCGCCTCTTGTTGTCCTGGTCGAAACTCGCGCCCGATCTCTTTCCTGATCCCAATCCCGACTCTTGCCCTTCCCTGTTCCCTTATTCCCTAGTCCCTACCTTGTCCCTGTTCCCTTATTCCCTAGTCCTTGCCTTGTCCCTGTTCCCTTATTCCCTAGTCCTTGCCTTGTCCCTGTTCCCTTATTCCCTAGTCCTTGCCTTGTCCCAATCTCTGAACCTAATCCCGAATATTCTCTTGACCTTTCCTTCTTCTTTCGCCAGTGTCGCTGTTTTAACTGACAGACCGATCGATCAAATATACTCAAGTCATTCCAAACATCTTTTATTATTATTATTATTATTATTATTATTATTATTTTGTTTTTGTTATTTTTTTGAGAGGGGAGCAGGGCATCAACGACGACGATCGAATTGATTAATAGTGAATCTAATTATTTGAAAGGAGCCAAAAGGCGCTGTTTTGTTTTCGTTTCGTTTCGTTCCGTTCCGTTCTTTGGTCTTTCGTTATTGTTGATGTTTTCCGGTTTTTTTTCTTTGTTTTCTCACCAGAAGCGACTGAAACAAGATATGTAAAAAAAACATGAAATTTGTTAACAGATCGATATGTAGAAATTATATACCGTCTAAAACAAAACAAAACCAAAAACAAACAAACAAAAAATGCGAGTGGCGAAGCAGCGTGCGATTTTCAATGTCGGGATTTTTTTCTCTCTTTTTCTTTTTTCTTTTCTTTTTTTTCTCTTGAACAGCGGTTTTCTCAGTGGTTCACGTCAGGGTTCCCCTTGGTTTGGGGTTCTGACATTGTGTTTATTTTCCCTTTCCTTTTTTGTATTTACTTTTTTTTTCTTTTTCCTTTTTCTTCTTTTTTTTCCTTTTACTTTTCCCTCATGGGTTTTTTTTTCAAATCTTACTTCGTGAAGATTAGTATCCTCTTTTTTTCCATATATATATATATCTCTCTCTTTCTTCCGTTCTTTTGGTTTTAAGTATTATTCCAGTCCCTCGTTTCTTTCTCCTGTTGAACTATGTCTGTCACTGTGTTACCTCCGACTAACTCGTCAACGTTCCTGGTAGAGAAAAAAAAACATAAGTTATTCTCATTGAAATATTATGGGCGTGACTCCCCATCCGACCGTAAAATCCGACGTGATTTGCTGCAGTAACGTTATCCTTCGCAGTGAAAATGGTCAGCTGACTGTTCGTGGGTTTTTAAGACTTTTTTCCACAACGAATATTCTATGACTGTATCTCTCTTTTTTTTCTGTTTTTCCTTTTTTTTGTTGAGATTTTTTTCTTTCTTTATTTTCCGTGTTGGTCACTCTTTCTCTTAAAGTTTATTTTCTCACCGAAAAAAAAACAAGTTTAAATATTTTATTGAAAGTTAGATTTTAATTATTTTTAGTCCCGGTTAAGAAGAAGAAGAAAAAAATGTAGATTTGAAAAAAAAAAAACAAATGTTGCAGTTTTAGTTCTTGACCGTTTTGTTTTGTTTTTCTTTTCTCCAAAAAACCTGAGCATCCAAGAGTCGCCCTATCCGGCTATTCCCATGTCGAGTAGCTTTGATGGAGTGAATATTTCCCCCCGATACACAGGACGCTCGAAAACAAGGCTGTTGTAGTAAAAATAAAAAAAAAAGAGAAGAAAAAAAGTTATTCAGCTGTCACCACCAAGCACAAAACTGGAGACGACCCAGGTTGACCTCGGCTGACAGAGGAGGAGACCCGCGAAGGCCTTTGAGATTTGAGGTCTTTGCTGGGTCGGATTGGCCAGTCGAGGATTACGTGGCGTCCTCCACTATGTTATATATATATATATATAAATAATTACCCCAGTGAAACCCCCCATAACCTCTCTTTTTCT